TGTTGTTTATTTATTTTTTTCAATAGAAAATTCCTAAGCTAACTGACTTTTCTTTCCCTCCCTCTCTCCCTTCCTTCCTTTCTTCCTTCTTTCCCTGTCTCTCCTTTTTTTCAATAGAAAATTCCCAAACTATGGATAATTTTTAAAACACAAATGACAGATATGCTGTTTCCCTCCCTCTTGACAGACACACATCCTATGGAACTCTAATCAAGAAAAAAAGCAAGCAGTGGTGTCTGCCCTAGGGTGTGGTGGCCTGGGCATCTCTTAAGTTGCCCATTGCTTGCCTATTCAAGGTATGCTTTTGAGATGCCATTGAATGAAGTTTGCCCTCTGAGTACAGCCCTGGAAACTGTCTCTCTTTTGCTTGCAGTTCATTTAGGACAGAGAAGCAACAGTTTACATAGGGTCACAAAGTGTTTGAGCTAGCCATAGATGAGCCAGCCCAAATCCCCCATTTTATAGGCTGGCAGAGGGTCGGGACCTCAACCAAGCCACAGAGGATGGCAAAGCTGGGCCTGGAGACCACACTCCTGACCTGTGACTGAGGTCTCTTCCTAAGAAAGTTTAGAAATTCTAGTGTCATGAGTAGTTGTGGTAACAACAGAACCCACCTCTCTATCTGGAAGTCTTCTCGAGTGTCTTAGCGAAAGATGTTCTGAAGGCTGGGCACAGTGGCTCACGCCTGTAATACCAGCACTATGGGAGGCCAGGGCAAATCACTTGAGCCCAGGAGTTTGAGACCAGCCTGGGCAAGATGGCAAGACCCCATCTCTACAAAGAATTTCTTCAAAAAATTAGCCAGGGATGGTGGTATGCACCTGTAGTCCCAGCAGCTTGGGAAGTTGAGGCAGGAGGATCCCTTGAGCCCAGGAGTTTGAGGTGGCAGTGAGCTATATGGTCATACCACCACACTCCAGCCTGGTTGACAAAGCAAGACCCCATCTCTAAATGTGTGTGTGTGTGTGTGTGTGTGTGTGTGTGTATGCTATGTAATAAAACATAGTTCTGATTTTTATGGTTTATTCAGGCCGTAGGAGAGAGACAGCCAGTGTTCACTTGGCAATTTAGAGTAGTTGGAGGGTTTGAAGAATAAACCTGGAATTTAACACCCAATCTGTTTACAAGATGAACACTTTTTACCAGGCCTCAGCTTCCTTTTGTGAAAGCCCTGCTGTCTTATGTGTAAAATCTTCTTGCTAGGTAAATGAGTCATTTTGGTAATTATAAAATCTGTAAATCCTCTGACACTTTCTGTGTGCTTTTCTACATGCACATACCCATGCATCTTTAGTGCTTTAGCCCAGGAGGCATTAGCCCTGTTTATTGAATGGATCGATACTGAATCTCCCTAGTAGCTCCATAAGAGAAATTATTGTTTCATTTTGCCATCAACCAAGGCACCGAGATGAAGGTGATAAATGCCTTGCTCAGTGGCCAAGAAGTTGAAGGCAGGTCCCCTGGTGTCTTCTTGAGTTTCTTCCCGTTGCCATTCAGAGCAGGGTCTGTGGAACAGCAGCATTGCACGGGATCACCATAGGGGCTTGGTGGCAGCACAGCCATCCAGTGGCACCAGACCCACTGAATCAGAGTCTGCTTGTTGAACAAGATCCCCGGGTGGTTCTCATTCACTTTAAAGGTTAAGAGGTGCTGATGCTGTTCTATGCTGCATTTCCAAGTGGCTTAACTGTTCTCTCTTTGGTATTGGTGTAAACGATGCATTTCCTGTTCTGATTCTGCTCTTTTCTCTGGGATGGGTGGTGGGGAAGGGAGGAACTGGAAGATAAACAAGTATATGACTTTTATACATGTTCTTTGTTCTTTTGCTGCTTGTTTTTGTGGGGCTAGTTTTCAGGAGGCGCTGTAGAGCCCTTCATCTTCCAGGGCTTTCTCGTACTCAGTCAGTTACTCTGGGGAGGGATCCCAGAACCATCCGGGATAAGACTGACCCTGCCTGGAGGAGAGGGAGGCAGTGTAACCTCTGACCACTGAGCTGCACAGAGGTGGGTGCTCCAGGGGGATGTCACATTGGCCAGCTGCTGTCGCCGGCAAGGGGCATTCTGTTGCCCCTGGGAGTTGAGAATGACTGCATCGCTCAGATCCTAACACAGTAGCAGGGAAGGCCAATGTGGGTCTTCTCCGAGTCT